AAGGATGGAAACGGTAAGGGACTAAAATTAGGCCTCCGACACCACACTCATAATAGTACATAGACAAACAATATAGCTAATAATAACTGAATTAAGAGTTGTTTGACTATGCAGTCTGCTAGTGTTGGCACTAGTTAACTACACAGACAATATTTAAAACATGAAATTTAATTTTTCAGGTGGAGATTCTCCCACTGCCGACCCTGCAGCGGCTGCTGTCGGCGCAGATGCCAAACACGAAACTGAAACTCCTGCGCATCCCGTTCCACGCCACCTGGCGGCAGTCGCTCGCAGACTTCCAGTAGCACCGCCGCCGCCGCCGCGAACACACGTCTCACGTCCGCAGCGTGCAATGAGAAGTTGAAAGTTACAATGCACATGTTGATTTTTATTTTAAGTCTTATTAAATTTAATATATTTGGACTGTGACGTATTTGTTGACTTGAGGAAATATCCCTGAAGTCTGAGCAGTCAGCGGTGACTAAATATTAAGGTTGATAGAATTTTAAATGTGTTTTTATTTCTAAGATATATATTTTTAAAGAAAATAATAATTGTTATCGAATAGCTAATGATTATTTCTTTTAAATTGTTTCAAAGAAATGATGTGGTTTAAACACATTTTTAACAAAATAATCGACGAAAATTGTTACAGAAACTATAGCGACGTAACTCCGACATCCAAAAGATAAACTTACAGATATCTTTAAGTTTTGACAAAAGAAAAAATCAATTAAAATTCAAAGCATGTGAATGGTTGTGAATTCTAATGAATCATCATAAGCCGATTTATTATATTCAATAAAAAATATTCCCCGAAACGAAAACTGTTTGAATTACGTCGAAATCTAAGTGTAGGTTCCCACTGCTGAAAGTATACAAAAACATTAATAAAACAATCTTAAAAGCGTGTTTTTTAGTATTGCAGTGCAACTCCACTGTTTTGTGTTTTGAAAGAAATATTCTATAAAAAAGTAAATTAAAATTGAGCTCATAAATTACATATCTATTGAAAAACAATATTAGTAAATATTATCTTCATAAATTTTCCAGCAAAAAACACTCAAATATTTGAACTAGATACTTTATATAATTTTTTTTTGTCCCTGTCTTTCAAAGCGAACGATAGAGAGATATTAGAAATACCTTTACCAAGACACTGTAATAGAAGCCACGAAAATAAGCCATTTGGCACTATGAGACACTTCACAGATCCATTTGGCCTTATGAGACATTTCAAAGGTCCATTTGGTCCTATGAGACACTTCACTGATGCATTTGGCCCTACGAGACACTTCACTGATCCATTTGGCCCTATGAGACATATTGAACAATTTGGAATCATGAGGCAGTTATTTATTGAACTTTTAGCCCTATAGCGTTGCGGCGTTTGGCTCTAGACATTTGTTACAAGCAATTTGCCTTGCCCTAATGTTGATTCTAGACAAATACGGGCAAAATTAATACAAATAAGTTAAGAGAAGAAACTTGGAAAGAATAATTTTTAGTTTTGTATAAAATCGATTTGACTCGATTAAAACTTGACTGCAAATCAACCAACGGTGTTCGTGTAAAAAAAATGTTTTTAGAGACATTTAATATAAAAAAAACTATATCAACTGATGAGAAAATATATATTAGGAGGTAAATTTATATTAAGGTTGTACATAAAGTCTAGATTAGTGAACAGTGCCTATACTTCGGTTTATGGACATAAGAGGCAATGTTATTTTTTTTCTCAATTTTTTGTGTGTATTTAGTTTTTTTTTGTCGTATATAATGTTCTTGATAAAGAAAATTATGTGAACATTTAAGAGATATATTATTTTTTTTAGAATTGTATATTGTATGGAAAGTACAACATATTTTTTTCTTTATAAGATTATAAAGAATGGACACATGCGATATATGGTTTTGGTTTTCACTATTTTTTAATTATTTTTTTTAATGTTATAGTCATAACTATGAATGATTGACCAAAATTGCACGTATTTGAGTTAAACAATTACTTATATTACTCTACTTTTTTCCTAAAAATCAATGTTGAGACTAAAATATATTAAAGAAACTTTTTTTTCACAGAGAAATGTGTGTTAAGACTTCAAATTAAATTAAAATCTGTAATAGACTGTTCTAAAAAGCAGTAAAAACAGCTTCACCCTGTGTGGATTTCACGTAATAACACTAATTGTGTCTCTTACAAAGCAATAAGTAAGTTAAATTCTACGTCATAAATACTTTTTGCCTAAAAAAACTTGTTTTGACACAATTTTCAAATTGGACATTCAATTTTCCTTGGAATTATTTTTTGGTAAATTCTAATCTCTGTTACCAAATTAAACTTTCACTAATTGTTATATATTTTTTTAATAAGTTGATATTTTTGAACTCAAGACATTTAAAATATAATAACTCTTCAGACTATAACCACTGTAATCCAAACACGTCAAAGTTAGCTTTTATTTGGTTCTTTCCTTTGTAATATCAATTTTATTTGCTAAAAAGCTTAGCTTTATAAGACGTGTCCTTACCGTTTATCTTTGTATAGTACTCGCAAAAAGCATTCTGAAGTTTGCAACTAATTGCGTAGCTCGAAAGCGGATGACAGACGTCTATCTCTTTCGCACTTATTACTTTAATGTATATTCGTCTCATACGGAGCTAACTTCAGATTGCTCGAGTGTTACAGAAGCTTGGTATTTTTATTGTAGTTTTTAATTTGTTGGAGTCGATCCTCGCGACAACGTTTCTATGTAAAAAATTATTAAATAAAAGTACGTCCGAGGACCGACTTCGTTAGACTAATTATATATATAGTTTTAAATAGGCGACTGCACTAATAAACCTGGTTGCCAAATATGTGTTTTATTATTACCCCAAATATCTTAACTAAGGATGAAAAGTCTAAATTCGATCTATAGTCGAATTCAATTGAAATGAGAAACTACATCCTAAACAATATAAGGCTGTAATCATAGACATACTAAGAATACATGTCAATGTCATACAATAATTTTAAACCCAGAAATGTTACAAAACACATAAATAATGAATTTGTCAGTGATATGCTAGACATCTTTTTGATATTGACAGGGAGACCTCTACTAGTTTTTAGTATCAGAAAGTAAAATATTCCAACCTTTCGACATTATCGACGTTGAAAATAAAACCAAACTATATGCTAATGATTTGCAACTTAAACCTAAGTGCTCGTAGTGATTTATTATTTAAAATTGATACATCTTAATATTCAAGCGAAGACGAAGTAGCCTTTATACTGTTTGTTCAGTTTTTTCATAATTTAGAATGAGTAATCAGAAGTATAGATAATGCTAATAACAAAATCCATGTTATATGAACAAATGCACGAAAATTGTGATATTTTTCTTCTAGAGTTTCGAAATTATAGAAATGGCGACATTTGTTGCGGCTTTCATAATTTTGTATTTCAATTGAATTCTGTCTATCAATGGAGGCATAAATAAAACTCGACTTACATTTTTTTATACTTTATTTAACAATAGCTGTGTATAAATACAAATTATTGCTTATTATCTAGTTAACTATTTTGCAGTTTCCATTCAATACAAAAGAAATATCTAGAAAAGATAGCATAATATTGAAGACATTTATTTAGACTAAAAAAAATAATTGACTATAAACCTGCCTTTTTGACAATAACATAGCCCAATTTAAATTTTGTTTTTTTTTTTTGGGAAATAACTTGTATAATATATATTTTTTTTTAATTGGTGCGTCTTGAAAAGTTTTAAAAAACTTACCCAAGAAATTTTTTTTACATATTCTGCTTATAAAATAATGTTTTTTTTTTATTTAATATAATACTCAATATATACTTTTTTGTAATATAATACCTTTGACATATGTCAATTGGTATATACCAATGTTAGATTTATACAAAAAAACCATATAAATACAATAACTTACAGTAATTTCAGTACAATCAAGTAGTAAGTTAACAGAGTATTGTAGTGTCCCTACCCTGCCACAGAGAGATGATCGGCTATCTAGAAGTTAAGAAGTTATACATTCTTTAAGGGTAACAAGACAACAGTTGGAGTCACTAGGCGATACTTCTAGTCACATAACTACACTTGTAGCCTCTAGACAACACTTGTAATCTCTAGACAACACTTGTAATCTCTAGACAACACTTGTAGTCTCTAGACAACACTTGTAGTCTCTAGACAACACTTGTAGTATTTAGACAACACTTGTAGTCTCCAGACTACACTTGTAGTCTCTTATAGACTACACTTGTATATTATGTGACAACTATTGTCTCGTTAGCCGTACAGCAGCAGTTTTGTCCCCTACTCAGCTTTAGCGTCAGGGTGTCTCTCGAGCAGCATGGCGACGCCCTGGCCGCCGGCCGCGCATGCGGAGATCAGCCCGAGCTGGCCGTCCTCGCGGACCAGCCGGTGTGCCGTGTGCATCGCCAACCTCACCTGGTGTTACATAACATTCCATATTATTCCACTAACTTTCCCCCGCGATTCCGTCAGCGAGAAATAAAAAATAATAAAAAAAACAAAGCCTATGTTACTCGATGACAATGTAGTTAATGGTGAAAAAAACACGGAATTCAAAAAATATATAGTAATATAGCCTATGAAACTCTGCGATAATGTAGCTTTCTAATAGTAAAAGAATTTTAGATAGTAGTTTTTGAGTTTCTTTGTTACATACAAAAATACAAATCCTTTCCCTGAACTGTAACATTAGTATCAAGTCAAGAAGTAAAAAAAGCTTTAGGAACTAATAATTTAAATGTAATTAGTGTTTACTAAGAAACTATTCTAAGTTACTTATTTAAGTATAAAACTATGAATTAACTTACTCCAGTGGCAGCGAAAGGATGTCCGATAGAGAGAGAGCCGCCCCAAGCGTTCCACTTCTTCATATCGGGGTTGCCAACCTTTTAAAACAAAAATTATATAAAAAAAGTTACAAAAGCGATTTTTTTTAAATAAATTAACAGAAAAACTTTTACATACAAAGAAGAACGAAAAGAAAAACAAGAAACACATTTTTATTTTTTTTTTATGAATCGCCTTTTAAATAATTAAATAAAAATTATATAATTATATATAGTAAATTTAAAAAAAAAAATCTTATTTTTTCCGGATTTACTTAAAAATGAGTGGACATTTTGTTATAACAAAGAAATAACGTTTAAAGCCAGAACAAATCTTTGGATCGCTGGTTATAATTTATTGTTGTGTAGAACAAAGAAATTGGAAAAAGATGGTTTTAATTCTGGATGTTTTTTATGTAACAAAGTTCTGAATAAATATTTTTTTGGATATATATGATAATATCGTTTTTATTACCTTTGACTGACGTCCGAGATATGTCTGAGCAAACCAGTCAGAGTCCAGCGCCTTCAAGTTAGCTAAAATTTGACCCTGTACGAGAGAACTTTGATTAAAAATAACAATTTTTAATTAGTCTCTAACATTTTTACCGAATTTTCAAAGAGATACTTAGGGCCTGTCCCACCACTGGCTGATAGATTCTCAAATAGCTTAAAAGTGACGTCACTGTCAGATAAAGTAACAAAATCCGATATATCTATCACATTTAATACGTTGGATTGTTATCAGACAATTTACAAGAATTGTGGGACAGGCCCTAGTATCAGTCTTATCAAATTGTAAATTGGTTTGTTATACAAATATTATGTAAACCTCCGTTATAACTCCGCTGAAATAACGGAAGCGGAGTTATCAATTCTTGCGGAAGTTCCGAACTTGCGGATGCGGAAGCGGAGTTCCGTTACAGCCCTAGTTATACAAGGTAAGTGTTGCACCGCGATGTTGCCTGGCTGTACTTACCGCGAAGGCCTCGTGTATCTCCCAGGTGTCGATGTCGCTCAGCTTGAGGCCCGCCTTGTCCAGGATGGTGGGGATGCCGTACGCGGGTCCCAGCAATAACTGGTCTACAGGGTCCTGTATATCATTGTTTTAGGTGTTTTATAGAAAAAAAACTAAAACTGACCTTAAAACTTAATTAAACTAAAATTTAATGTTTCGTGAATCGTAGCATAGCATATTTTTAATTTAATTATTACAGATTTTCATTGTGTTTATGATCACTAACTTTCGCCCGCGACCCTGTCCACGTGGAATTAAAAAAGTAGCCTATGTGTTCTTCTAGACTATCTACATCTGTACCAAATTTCATCAAAATCCGTTCAGCAGTTTAGGTTACAAACTCTAACAAACATCCATCTATCTAAACTTTCGCATATATAATACTAGCTTTCGCTCGCGACTCCGTCCGCGTGAATTAAAAAAAAAACAAAAGTAAATAGCCATGTGTTCTTCCAGACTATTATCTACATTTATACCACATTTCACATAAAACCGTTCAGCCGCTTAGGTTACAAACTCTAACAAACATCCATACATCCATCAAAACTTTCGCTATTATATATTAGTATGATTCACTATGTTCAATATTTACCGCACTAGGAATCATACAATTGTAATCTAAGCTATAAAGTTCCCTTAGTGACTGATTAATGACTATAAGTGTGTTTGTTAGTTAAATATTGTAATTAGTATACCTGAGCGACGTAAGTGAAGTCTCGTACGTAGGCCTTGGGCTTGAGGCCGAGCTCCTTGGCCTTCGACTCCGACATTATCAGACACGCAGACGCGCCGTCAGTCTAAAAAACAATCATTTATTAATAATGTTATAATAATATAGAAGGAAATTATTTATAAGTTTTATTATTTAAGCATGTCTTATTACTATATAAGTATATTTATTGATATTAAAAAAATTGTTTATTTTATTTAATTTATATTTAAAAGCCAGCCAGATGGAGACAAAATAATTTTAAAAAGAAAAACGTACCAGGGACAAAAATAGATTATACACTGGTTTTGTAAAATTGTGCCTCATATATAATTATTAATAACTAGCTGCTGCCAGCGACTTCGTCTACACAATATTAAGATAAAAAGTAGCCATCTATGTCAGCTACCCTTCAGTGAAAGTCCGATCGAAATGGGCCAAGTGGTTTCGGAGATTACCCGGAACAAACGCGGCTTTCGGACAGACAGACAAAAAAAAATGCGATTTTCGTTATCAGCAACTCAAATACAACATCTTACCCAAATCTGAAATGATTCTTCTGACATTAAAAAAAGACACTCCAATTTTATTATATGCATAGATAACTAGCTGTTCCCATACGGCTTCATCCGCATGAAATTATGAAAATTTTATTTTATTGTTTACATTTGATAAATTGTCAATTACAAATGTCAAAATGACAACATGACAAAACTTGGCAATCTTCCTTCCTTGATGTTGGCAGCAACTTATGGTCTCTTTTCCACATTAGGGTTTTTATCCAAAATATTTACCCCTAAGTTTAATGGCGTGAAAATATATAGCCTAAAGCGTGACACAAGTGTATGACTTTTTATTAAATAAAGAATTATTGAAAAATATGGTGTAATTGCTGACATCTTAGGCAACAAAGATGTGTGTGTTTACGCTTTATTATAATAGTATAGAAGTATAGATTCGTACGAGGAATGAGGCGTTGGCGGCGGTGACGGTGCCGTGCGGCTTTATGAAGGCCGGCTTCAGTTTCTGCAGCTGCTCCGGAGAGGACACGCGGATGCCGTTGTCCTTCTCTACCACACCCTCCTTGCCTTCCACTGGAAAGAGACACACTATTTTAGTATACTTTTTAGTTATTTGTAATTCACAATTAGTTATTGATTTTGTTTTTTTTTTTATCATTCAATTAGAAGTGAAAATAAAGATTTTTTTTTGATAATTTTAAATCGATTGTTAAATTAAAAAACATTAATTACACTCAGAATCATTAATTTGGTACCAAGGACTATCCTTAAGTTGAATTTAGTAAAAGAAATTAATTAAATTAAATTAAATTAATAATACTAAGAGAATTTTTGAATAACCAAAAAAACTCTGATTAAAATAGTCATGGCAGAATTACTACCAGACTGACTTCTGACGTCATACGTCAAATATCACGAAAATCCGTAAATCTAGGCTACAAACACAAACTAACAAACATCCATTCATTTAAAATCTCGCATGTATTTTAGTATACATATTCGAGAGTTTCTTACCTTTAACAGGGATGAGGTCAGTAAAGTATCCCTTATCTCTAGCATCAGCGGCCAAAGTGTGGGATCGCAGCGAGTACTCGTCCTGTTCAGCGCGCGAGGCGCCGAATGCGGCCGCTAGTCTGTCCGCGCTGTGCCCCATCGTCTCCCCGGACGAGAACTCCGCCACAGCCGGCAACTGGAGGTAATACACTTATGTAAGGCAGATCCGGGAGAGGATGACTGGGGAGGATGGTTAGGGGAAATGATTGGAGGAGGGGATGACTGGGGAAGAGGATGATTGGGGGGTCACATATCAATATCTTTCTTCTGTGACTCCTCTTTTAAAAAAATATTAGTTATTAAAATTAACATGCGATAGTAAGATTTAATGGTAGAATTTGTTTTGAAAAAATGAATAAAATGAAGAGTCTTTTTAGACTAGTTTTCTACTTAACTAAGTGTTTAAAAATAATACTCCTTTTACAAAAATATTCATATGATTTATTCATCTATTTCTATCTATTCTCTATTTATTCTATTTTCTATTTCTGTTCTATAAATAAAATATCCTTAATAAATCAATTTAGATATGTTAAAGATGTTATAGTTCAAGCAAACATCAGCGTGTTTTAACTCGCTACTAACGCCATCTAGTGACATCATTCTAAAACAGTTTAACTAGAATCTTACCTCAGGTGCGAAGTAATCCGGTCGTATAGAGGCAATCAAGGAGAGTCGCTGTGCAGGAGTCTTAGCGCGGTTGAGACGTAGCAGCAAAGATCTCATCTTGCGGGAATGACGAATGGGAACATCAGACATGAACTCAACACCTCCTGCGACTATCACGTCGTACGCACCCGCAGCTATCATGCCAACACCTGTAGAATTAACAATTATTCACTTAAGACCATTTAATTGTCTGCACCATGACAAAAATAACCTAAACTGTTCCAGGAGTTTAAGCTCAACCCGTCCGATGTAGACATTACTATGTCTGTGGCTGAGCTAGCATCCGAAGCGGCTGTACGATTATGCCAGTTTGTTTCTTAAATACTAAGAGTCGCAGCACTATAGGATTGACATTTTCAAAGACAAAAACCCCCCTTTTAAATAAAGATAAAAAAACCTAAACTGGATGATGAAAATATCACTTACTAAATATCATAGATAAACATTCTAAGGGGATATTAAAAAAGTTGAAAAGAGGAATGTGTGCCAAGTGAGATTCAAACTTGGTCTAGCACAATGGATTACATACATACAAGCCCACATACATAAAAACATATAAGTGAGAAAATTATCTTTTTGGTTGGATAATTATCAATATTTAAAACAGCTAAACGAAAATTCCTTCTATTTAGGTAGGGATTTTGACAAGAGTCATATATTTACATGAATAAACACTCAGGTGTATACATACTACCCACATTTAATTATTCAGAACAAACTTCCCAACATAGTAGATTTTACCTTCAGTAAAATTTTCCAAAAAGTTATAATTTTTTTACTAACCTGTGGTTATAGCTTGGTTAGAAGATATACAAGCCATAGTAACAGTATGCGCTGGTGTTCTATCACTGAAGCCAGCAGCAAGGGCCGCCTCACGACCAATGTTGGATGTCTTCACTTCTTGGATGACAGTACCATATACTATGTAGTCAATCACATCCTTGGATACCCCAGTCTTCTGCAGTAAGCCACTGTGAAAAAGATTACAAAACTATTGTATTGAAATTATAAAATGTATTGTAAACTAGCTTTTGCCCATGTGTCCATCAGTGTGGAATTAAAACAAACAAAAGTAGCCTATGTCTTCTTCCAGACTACCATCTACATCTATGCCAAATTTAATGAGACACATTTGGCTGTTTAGGCTACAAACTCTATCAAACATCCATCCATTTAAACTTTGGCATGTATTATATTAGTATGATAAGATAAAAGTAAGATGAATTGGAAATATTGGACATTTATTTATTTTACATAAACATACAGAAGTGAATGTCTGGCAAGCTCATGAGGCATCATCTTAGCATAATCAGTGAAGGACACGAGGAACGGAGTCCTGACTCCATCCACCAACACCACATTCTTGCCGGTGCGGTCCGGCAATGTCTTCTTCTGTTGTAATGCTGCACTCACACTGAGTGCTCTTCTAGCTGTATCTAAAAGAAAAAATATTGAGTTGAAAGTAATTTTCCACTGACCATGTGTACGTACCACTTTATTATCGTATAATATGAAGGTTGTTAGTTGCAATTTAGTTTTAAATCAATAGGAAAAGCAGATAAACAAAGAGATGTGTTTTTCTCAGTAGGAATATGACATTTCTAGGAGATGTTCTATTTAACTTGGTTGTTAGTTAAAATATTTTGTTTAAAATTAGAGTAAATCATCGTTATTTAAGACCAAAGTCCAGTAAATATACGAATATTTCCTAAATACCGTAACGATGCCAAATAACCATGTAGAGTCCAAAGTTTATTTTGCTGTCACAATGAGAAATTAAATTCTTTCTATCTCTAATTTTGTTAACCAGTTATTGTAATAAAAAAAAATAAGAAAAACCAACTCCATTACATTCAGATTGTGTTTTGTTCTTAAATTTTAAAATTAGAAATTAAAGTTTTTCACGTACCAAACTTCACGGTTGAACTGGGTGAGGACACTTTTAACAAAGATTTTGCTACTTTGGAAGCCATATTTTGGTAGGAAACTAAATCAAATTGTAATAAAACAACACTAATGTAGTTAACTAGCTATAAATAAATATTAAAAGTTTTATACTTTAAAAACTTTCGGAAGTAGTTGGACTATGACCTGTCAAAATTGTGTCAAATGAAAAAAGAAATGTCAGATGACGTCAAACGATATTAACAGATTAAAAATCAAGTGTTTCGGAAATAAAAAAACACCAGAATTATAGTAATATTTCCTATCGACTTAAAATGACAATTTTATCGGATAATTCGTTTGGTAGTTTTACACCACTTACTAAAAACATATTAGTAGGAAATTAATTAAATAAGTCCAAAATGAGGGTATTTCAATATTTAATTTGATTTAACCGTTTAATTATTGGTAGTTCATCCATTTAACCGTCCACCACAAAGGGCGCGATATCGCTTTAGGATAAGTTTTTATTAATTGAAGTAGTAAATTTCAAAATTTAGTTAGATGAAGTGGTATTAATGTTAAATAGGTGAGTTAATCTAATTTCCTTATAAAATACATTTCAAATGGAAATAATTAAAAATTTTGTCTGCTTTTGATACATCTCTTGTAATTTATCAAATCCGAAATCTAACTAGGTCTGGTTGTTTTAAGAAATAGGGTATCCTTTTAGCCTTGTCACATTAAGTTACAACCAATTAGATGCCAACACGATTGAACTTCCCTTGTTTAATTATACCTGCTTAACTTTTATTAATAACAAGTAATAATTTTATTTCAATATACATACAATCCGCACTGGGCCAGCGTGGTTGACTATGGCCTAGTCACCCCTTACTTAGGGTAGGTTCCGAGCCCCTTATAGTAAGCTGGTGATGATGATACATATGAGTACCACATGTTTAATGAGGTTTTATTCGTATTTTGTTCTATTTAATCCAGTTTTACTTACGCATTATGTAGGTAGTAGCAAAAATCTGTTTAAGAAATTACTTTACGGCAGTGACAGTTATTGTGTACTACTTTTAATGTATTCTCATGGGCTTCTAGACCTCGTTTACGCAAGTTTGGTTGTGGTTCACCGAAACACGTAATATTTGATATCCCAAGTACACTGAGGTCAAAGGTGTTGATAAAGTAAAGTCCCGACATAGTTTAGTGGCTATTTTTCTATTAATATCATCTACTCACTAAAATATACTTTCAATGATACTTTACCGAGTTATCAATATATTTTTCATAATACGTGGTCGACATTTCATAACTAAAAAATCTCACGTCTTACGTAATAGATGTATGACGACTAGAAGAACACATAGGCTCACTTTCTCTCTTTTATTTTAACTCCACGCGGACGAAGTCGCGGGCGAAAGCTAGTATAGTATACAGTCATTACACATTGGGTCAATNNNTAATCACTTAGGGGAGGCTCGAGCCGTTTGTTTGTGACGTTAATGAAGAGACTAACTATAACTAACTCCTTGCAGAATATGAAGGCGATATATCTGGTGTTGGCGCTATGGCTGACGCCGTGTTACAGTCAGTTTATGGACGAAATGCAGACGTTTGAGCCGGCGTGCCTCGGAGATGAAGTCTACCAGTGCCTCGGCGGCGGCTGTGTACCCTTGCAGAGCTATTGTGATGGCAGCATTGATTGTGATGATGGCAGCGATGAGAACTTTTGTGGTAAGTGATGGGATACAGTTTAACACTGTATTAAATAATAAAAAAATATATGTTTATATTGGTGAAAGGATATTTGAAATCGGCCCAGGAGTTTTTGGGTTATTTCAATATGTACAAAAATACAAATCTTTCCTCATTATAATATTAATATACATACCTATATCTACCATATATATCTTTTGTGGATAAAAGTTGTATTCAATGATAAACTTTTCCCGCCTATCGTTAATTTCCCGCAATTTTTTTTGTCTGTCATTCCCCGCCATTTTTTCTGTCAGTTATTCCTCGCCATTTTTTCTGTCAATTATTCCCCGCCATTTTTTTGGCAGTTATTCCCCGCCATTTTTCTGTTAATTATTCCCCGTCAGTTATTCCCCGCCTTTTTGCAGTGGATCATCACCCGGACGCCATCCTATGCAACCAGACGCACCAGTACCTCTGCTTGGACCAGAAGCGCTGCATACCCAACACGTGGATCTGCAATAGGGATGTCGACTGCGAGGATGGCAGCGATGAAGCCAATTGTACCACGCTACCAGAGATTGTAAACGTTGGTATTGACTTGTATAGATATAGTTAATCTGAACTATTACACTCTTAATGTCTACGCAGAGTAACTATTAACTAAAATATTGATGACCTTTAACCACTAATTAACAACTCCGAATGCGGTTTCAAAACTGTAAATTTTGTACAAAACGGTACTTTTTTTCGAGAAAATAGAACCAAATTCTAGAATATTCTCCTTACAATTTAAAATTACTCACTATTTAAATTATACACATAATTGCTTAGCTTTAGATAATAACATTTTGGCTAGTTTATATGACTAAAATATTACAATATTTAACAAAAAGGTTTTGCGTCAAGTACCACCAATAAAAATATACTTGCGGTGTGAAGACGCCGTAGGTACGTATAATTCAAATTCTGTAGGTAGTTTTAAATTTCTCATTGCAGTCCACTTGTAAAGGTTTTGTATGCGACAACAACCGTTGCATCTCTCGTCTATGGACTTGTGACGGTACATACGATTGCAGAGACAGGACCGACGAGGATATTGATTCCACTTGCAGTAAGTACGATTAAATATCAACAAATAAGTTCACTATTGAATGAAAAACTTAAAAGAAGAATGAAACTTCTAAAAGTGTTGTTAAAATGCGACAGATGCAAGAATTTCATCTTCCCGTCAAAAGGACGGACAAGATTTTATAAACCTTAATGTTGTAGGCTTAAACTTTGGACAACTGTCTGCCCTTCTTCTTAAGAGAAATAAGAATAAGAATGAATTAAAATTTATCAACTATAGTCCCGAAGTCCTTGTCTACAACGGTTATTGTTGTCTCTGGTTTTTCAAACAGAATAAGGACGGCAAGTATTTCAGATGAATCTAATATTTCTCTTGTTTTAGGGCACGCTCTTCTTCCTCACACGGTCAATGATGGCGTAGAATGTCGGGAATTCCCCGAACTCGGTTCACGTAACTACAAATGCCAGGACTCTTCATTTTGTTTGGCACAAGATCAGATGTGCGATGGTATACATGACTGTAGGGATGGCAGTGATGAGGGAAAATTCTGCGATAAATGTAAGTTTCTATATTAAAATTTGGTATGAACTCAATTTATAACTTATAGAAATAGGAGAGAAAAAGAAGAAGGTAAATATTTAAAAATAGGGAAAGAAAACGTATGCAGCTAGACTAATGAGAGATAAACCAAGGAAATATCAAGAAGAATTAATGCAAGAAGAAAAAATTAAAGAAAACGACAGCAGCTAGAGTAATGAAGGTAAAGAAAAGGAAATATCAAGAAGAACAAGTGAAATGTAGACGGTACAGAAAACAGAACATTTGATATTACTCCACCAACAATGATGTCCTCAAAATATGATTCTAATATAATTTGAATGATGGATTATAAATTGTTACCATAATTTGCAGGGCATACGATGTGTTCCAACTTCTCTTGCGGTGGTAACAACACAGCCTGCAGTCCGGAACGCGAGGGGCCTACGTGTATATGTCTGCTATCTAATTCCATGATGCAGTACAACTATACTACGAAACGGTGTGAGGTATTTAATTCATTTTGGTTCATAAACTATTTATTGTTTTTGATACAACTGATAACTAGTGTGTTAGACTTTTGTTGCTTGCGTAATACATTTAATTTCCATGTAGAGTATGACCTATGTTATTGTCAGGATGTGAACGTCTGCCAGCAAGCAAGGCCCCAGTGCTCACATTCTTGCGAGAACAAAAATGGATACTTCGTTTGTCATTGCGACACGGGTTATGTGAAAGATGCACTGGAATACCTCTGTTATGCCCCTGGTAAGATCTGATTAGTTATCTAGTTCAGAATTTAATAATACCTGATACCATTCTAACCACATCGATGGTATGGATTCAACGGTAGTTTTCAAGGAAATTACTGACTCGCACAGCCGCATTCTGTGGAAGGTATTGGAGAAGGCATATATGAATTCCACATTGTGGAACTGTCTCCCCAATATTTTTAATCCAGTATGACTTATCCTTAAAAAAACAACCATTTTTTTCTTGTTTTATTACCGTTGCACATTTGTTTTATAAAATGCGTTCTTTTATAGGTCCAGAAGCTATAGTATTCTTCAGTACCCGCAACGATATTCAATACGTGACCCTTAAATCCAAACAGCATGTTAAAATTTTGGACGGAACTGAAATTAAGCAGGTAACTATTTATTATTTCCTAACTATCGACAATCATTATCATCACGAATATACGACTCTATGGAAGGGTTCGGGGATTACTGAATAAGCGGGCAGTAAGCTTCAGACAACCGCGAATTTATTGACTTATCTTTGAATTTCCAAGCAGATATGCGCAGATTGCATCATGGTGTTTTCCTCCACTGTAAGAACATTGGGTAAATTTACATGGCAATTATCATTGTTCTACCGATGCTCCATTAGTGAGCTAAAATTTGTGAACTGTTTAATTTTATCCAGGCTCATGGAGTATCATACGACGGCAATTATATCTATTGGGTTGAGACAGCGCAAGGCCATCAGTCTATAGTCAGATCTAATATCAACAGCTTACAAGACTCTAAAGAGGTAAGTATCTAATTTAACTTTTGACTTAAGTGCTATTACAGTAAACATAGAACCCTTGTCTCTACAGAGGGTCGGCACAGTGCTGCTCTTCCATACATCTCTATCATAACTGAATTCACTTTCTTCAGTCTTCCTCTAACTTTGTAGCCGTCGACATACAACCTTAATACTTTCTTGTTAAAACATTGGACTAATTTTGAAAAATAAATCAACAATAGCTTCTCAAGTAATACCCTTGTTACAAGTTAAACGATATCCTTATATTCGTATACCTTCTGTTTCTCCAGGTTTTAGTCGCTTTAGGCCTAGAAGATCCTGGTGATATCGCAGTAGACTGGCTCGGTGCGAACATATACTTCAGCGATGCAGAACGAGGTATAATCTCAGCCTGCAAGAGCGACGGCTCCATCTGCAAGACCATACACACGGAGACCAGGCACCCTAAATACGTCACGCTTGATGTGAAACGAGGGTAAATGGATATTTTTAACATCATTTCTTACTGTTTTTTTCATTTATCAACTTCGGTTGGTCTGCTCGAGATAGTTTCTCACACTGTTAGGTTGTTTTTGCATCTAGAAGTTTCCAGTATTTGTACTATAAAGCATTTGGAAAAGGTATATATTTTATTAATAACGCTTTTTAGGCTTTAAATCTGTCTTCTGTTGTCTAGGATAATGTACTGGGCAGATTGGCACAATCAAGCTATCATTATGCAGGCTAGAATGGATGGTACAGATGCTAAGGTCCTAGTACATGACCTATCAAGCTTCGCAACTGGTCTTTCTATCGACGCTCCAAATCAACGCCTTTATTTCGTGGATAAGACCATCAAAGTTGTCAAGGTCGATGATGGGAAGGTGTACGTGAGTATTGAATTAATAGTTATCCTCACTTAGGCATGATATTCTTCATTATTATATTTAACTATGGATTCCTTTATAAAAAAATGTACAAATCCACACTAATAGACCTTAATGTTTCCATTCATCTTAGTAATTACGTAATGATTCTGAGTGGAATATAGCTTCATAAATGACTTACATATTATTTCCAGCCTCTATTTAATGAGCCGTTTCATCATCCTTATTCTATTGCTGTCTTCGAGAATACGGTCTTTTGGAGTGACTGGGCCTCCAACAGTATCCTAAGCGCGGACAAGCTGCACGGCAGTACTGAGAAAAGAAACCTGCTTTTGTCGCTTGATACGCCTGTTTTCGGTTAGTTGTGGTAAATATATATATACACACACACACATAATAAAAACACATAGATGCATACACAAAAAATATAAACACCCACAAAAAAAACACACTTTATAAATGTGGGAAAGAAAAGAAGGACCATTTCCTAAAGGCCGGTAACGCATCTGTAGTTCCTCTGGTATTGCGGATGTCCATGGGCGTCTTTGACAACCGCTCGTTTGCCCTCCTTGTATTACAAAAAAATAAGGGAAAAAGTCTATTTTATGTCTACTCTTTTATTTAAATATATTGTTACACGCAAAATTGAATGCAATATCATATAAGGGAAGTCCTAGCTACTTAAACACAGTAAACTATACTAATTAATGAGCCAAGCCAACATAAACTAATATATCACCGTCGTCATCATTGGCCTTTGTCTGCCCCTTAATATACACGTTTGCAAAAAAGAACTGTCTGTCAACGAAAATGAAGTAGGATTTTAAAAGACTGTAATAATACAGATTTCGAGATGTAAACTGTGGTTACTCTTTCCAGATATGCACATATATCACCCGGTGATGTTGAAGCACACATCGAACCCGTGCGAGCGCGCCGGCTGCACGCACTTGTGTCTGCTGACGTCGAACACGAGCCACGTCTGCGCTTGCCCTGATGATATGGAACTAGTCGCTGGAGTTACTTGCAGACGTAAGAATTTCTTTAAAGGTTAACTCTTCGTGTTTCCATCCATTGTCTCCGTACTGTATTGGCTTTTGTAAAAAACAGTTTAATAGTAGAAATTTTTACTTTGCTTTACTAAATATTGTCCGCACAATGTATAGCTATCTATACTAATATAATAAAGCGGATACCCACACTAATTTGTGGGGTAGGAAGACAGTAATCACAGCATGTTTTTGAATAATTCTGTCTTTAATAAAAAGAACCACACTGACGGCGCTATAGGCTATATATTTTCACGCTATTTAAGTTAGGGGTGAATAAATTGGAAAACAAACGTGTGAAAAAGTGATGATGCGGATGAAGCGCACGGGAACCGCTAGGTGTATATAAAACTAAAATCTAGTCTTCAAGAATGAGTTTCTCCGTGAAACTTTTAATTACTATCTATGTGGTAATGTACCGATGTTCTGTATTTTACAGATATCGAAGACTACCGACCTCAATACTTGATAGTGGGTGGGGGAGCATCCTTCACTCGCGTCCAGTATAATTTGTTAGGCAACCCGGAGAGTCACGCTACTCACTTTGATATCGGAAGAGTTCAGGCAATGGCATACGATAATGTTAGAGGTTAGTTTACTTAAGTAATATTATATTTATCAAAGCGAAGCGACCGCTACCCATAGATGTTCGCAAATGTAGATGTGTCGCCTACCCTTAATTGACGGAGGAGATGCATATAAAAAGGATATTTACTCTTTCTATGCGTCTCCTCCGTTTTCCCTTCCCATCCTCCCCTTAATAAAGGAGGGTGAATGAAAGGAGTATTTAAAAACTAGAACTCAGGCACGCATAACTGAAATAACTTTTGATTAACCATTACTGATTTTGGAATCATAACATTATATTATAATCGACAAAAATCAATGTATTTGATCCAGATATCCTATATGTGTACGACGGGCAACGTAAGAGCATCAATTTTATTAGTATGAAAGAATTTCTGTTGGGCGTGACGCACTTGTTCATTCACGAAGGACTCGAAAACGTCGTTGACATGTCTTATGGTAAGTATAAAGAGAATTATTTATACCAAAAGGCACTTTCGATGTAGATTGTTTCATTTATGACAATACACCAAACAAATCTTTAAAATACCTTTATTCAATTGCAATAGATTACGTAACGGACTCCCTTTATATCCTGGACTCGGGGCGTCGTGTTATCGAGGTGGCCTCCTTAAAAACCAAGCAGAGGGCTCTGCTGTTCCGCTTCCGTGATGAAGAAATTCCAATCAGTCTATGTGTTATGTCGGATTATGGGTAAGTACAGCAAATATTTACCGACTATTTGTTTAATTTCTTGCAACTCTTTCAATTTTGTTAATTTGTTTGTAAATTGTTGTTTTTGAAGCCCAGGAGACTGAAGCTTGGACCCAAATTCCTAGTGGTTTAACTGCTATTTACTCTCGTAACTCGTGAGGGAAGCCAGACTTTTAATTTATGGTTTTCATGATGTTTTATTCCTACAGGAGAATGCTGGTAGCAATAGTAGAAAGCGAACAAAGCAATGAGATCCACGTCGACAGCATTGGTCTAGATGGAGAGGACAGGAAACATCTTTTGATGAACAATTTGATGGGTGAGTAAAATCATTCTATCGGAAATCGATAAAAATAAAGCTACCAATAAATGACAGCTCTAAGAGATAATAAGTGATGATACAAAGAGGCCAGGATACAATTCATTTATTATTTTCAGGACCATACGTGCGTTTGCGATACGCACAAAACATGGATGTGGTCTTTGTCTCAGATGAGGGACACGGGACAATTGATTTCGTACATCCGGAAGGTAAAAAATCAACACATTAAAAACTATTATGTCTAAAGACTTCAACATAGTAGGTCATAGAATATTCTATATATATATTTCATCGTTTTATATTCAGGTACTGGTCGTGAGAATTTCCGTGAGCTATCAACTACAATAGCTAGCCTCGCTGTTACCGACAATTACGT